AAATAAAGTCAGAGTTCTGAGTAACTCTGTATTTTAAATATTAAACTGAAATAAAATTTAAAAATCAGTTAACATTTTTTTTCTTTTTTTTTTCCAGTGGCCCTAATCCTCTTCCGTAGTATCGTATCGAGTTTATAGCGCGGGTATATTTTTTTTGTCTGGTTTATAACCGGTACATCCTCCGCTCCTGTTGGTGGCGCTAGTGCACTAACATTCCTATACCGCCATTAAAACGTAGAAGAAGAAGGGGCGGATTAACCTGAAGCTGAATGGCTCCATCTCTCTGTAAGTTCCTGTTCAGCTACATGCCCAGCCATGGCCCGGTGGTTCTGGTTCGTTTCACACGTTTCGTATGAAATTCCGACGCCAAACGAACCGACGGAAAGCGACTCATCGCCGGTTAGTGTGCTGCCCGCTACGCGTTAGCTTAACCCGCCGAGCTCCGGTGTTTGCATCCAGTGTAGGGGCTGAGTGGGATGGCCGCAGCGAAGACGGCGGTACCAACAAAAGTAAGTAATGTTGACTATTTTTCATGGTGTGAGTCTTTTTGAAAACGGTTAGGCGAACTGTGGTAGGTGGGGTTAAATTTTGAATCTGCGTTTTTAGATGTAAACAGCGCGGTTACACGTGACGGTGTCCGCCAAGATAAACATCATCTGCTTCAAATTTCACTGAGACCAATCTACCCAGAACATCTGTCTGCAGTTGGACTGACTCTAACTCAGCTAAATACAATCGGTTTCATTCAGTGTCTCTAATTAAAGCTCATTTATAAAACGGGTCCAGTTTCTGCAAACCTATTTACCTAATCCCAGTTAAATTCAGTTAAATTCGTGCTTTTAAGTTTAAGTTTGTTCATTTATATAGCCCCAATTCACAACACATGTAATCTCAAGGCACTTTACAGTTCAACCAGATTATGCAGTCAGATTGATTCAAAGTTTTCTATCTAAAGATCAACTCATTGACTCTTCAGCAATCCCTCACACTAAGCATGCTTGTAGCGACAGTGGGGAGGAAAAACTCCCTTTGAACAGGAAGAAACCT